AACTGTTCTGAAAACCCTGGCCTTGGTTTTGCCTGCAAAGGAAAACAACCCAAACACATCCCTGAGTATTTACTGTGAAAACTGGGTATTCCCCAAGCTCATCATCCCTCAGCGGGCCCACTCTTAAGCTTGTTTAAGACCCATCCTTACACCCACCTTTTCTAATTACTCCAGCGCCTCTCTGTCCTTTGAGCCCTGGGTTACTCTCAACCATACATTTTAGTAAAAAGTGACTCACGAATTGCTTCACACCTACCTCTTCTGTCCCCATTGCAATTGTAGTTTGAGAGCTGGTATTGCTTACTACTTAATTGAGCAGTTAGTTTTCTTTAAATATGTCACTTAAAATTGCTTTCTATATTCCTCAAGTAGCATTATTAGAAGGAACAGAACCAGACATTAATGATAAAATAGGATTAATTACTGGCCACAGTTACATAATTAAAGAATGCATAAAATATTCCAATCTTTAATATTCCATTTCAAAGTTCCAACTATTTTGACACTGTCCGCTGAGATAACCAGTTGACTCATGTGATCAAAGATCTTTATAAAGTCTTACAATGTTTCTCTAGTATAAAGGCAACATTTTAATTAACACCTCCCAGACTGCAAACGCGTAGACCAGGGGGTAGCTCTAATAGGGCTCCCCTTTTGGAAGCCGCCTTCCTCTGCAGACAGCAAAGCCGACCGCATTGGCCTGAAGGTCTCCATGCTAAACTGCTGGCAGGGTTTTCTGTGCAGGCAGGGGTTTCTTTAACATATTTTACTTAAAGAATATAACAGATTGTATTCATCAAATTAGCGAAGATAAAAACTGTTACTCGGGTCTGTCAAGAACGTGGACGGGCACACAACCATACGCTGCTGGAAGTGCGGACCAACCTGAGAAGCCACGCGGCAGCATTTATGAAGAATCTTTAAGCCCCTACGCCAGTCATTTCATTTCTACTTAACCATTTTCTTAGTAAATGTTCACGAGTGTGGAGCACTGCGGAGAGGAAGGAGATTCATAAATTTTGAGCTGAAATAACCGGACATACGATAGTGTCTCCTTTAAAGCATATTTTAGGCCCTCGCTAGACCTTGGGGGGAAAAAAAATGCAACTAAAGGTTCTTCCCACTCTGGACTCGGGGCATTCCAGAAGCCGGAGTTTAGAGGCCTCCCTCCCGGGCGGAGAGCGCGGGGAGCGCG